ATCAAATTTTCACCCTACAGAAGATGGCGACCACAGTGGGAGAATCCGTTCATTCAGATGAATTGGTGGTGGCGCAGTCTGACGAAGTTGCTGCAGGGACTACTGTTGAGTCCCTTGTGATCAAATTCGAGGGGTACTTACAATCGTCCTCTTCTGGCGGCAATACATCTCACGATGGCTGTAGAGTCGTGCGGGTGGCCCAGCCCCAAGAGGCTGAGGCAACCAAGCCTGAGGGATCTACCCAAGCCGAGGCAGGGGGTTCTTTTCCCCCAAAACCAGTTGAGGCCGAGCCGAGACTCGAGAATGCAGGTCTAGGGGCTGCTAAGTGGGTCGATGAACGATCCTCGTAGGCCCCTATGCAAAAAGAATCAACCATTCGTGTCGACGCAGACTACGCCTCCGCCGTCGACATGAAGGCTCCTCGTTCAAAAAGATCCAAACAGCGACTACGAAAAGCTCTCGCTCGTCTCGAGGCACAATCCCTTATCCCCCACGACAGCCTAAATTATTATTCAGGCTTGAGAGGAATCAACCTCTTGAGCCAGGTTCCCATTTTTGGCGAGCCGCTCAAATCGGGCGAGCCTAGCAGTTTAGGCGAGCCCCTCTCTTTGAGCCAGGTTCCCGGTACGGGCGAACCGCTCAAATCAGGCGAACCTAACAGCTTAGGCAAGCCCCACTTCTTAACCAACCTCTTGAGCCAGGTTCCCAGTTTTGGCGAACCGCTCAAATCGGGCGAGCCTATGCACTGCCCCCCCCCCCACTCTGTGAGCAAGGTGCTCAATTTTGGCGAACCAAGGGCACCTGGCGAACTCTGCAGTTCAAGAGGGCTTCGTCAAACAAGCGAACTTCACCAAGCTCGCCTGACGGCCCAAGTTCGCCAGAAAGGTGAAGCAACAGCTTGCCAGACAGGCGCAGGCACACTGTACCAATCTCGCCTGACGAGCGAACCTCGCCAGCCTGAACCTCGCCAACATGCTCACGCCCAAATGGGGGTGGCCACCCCGTTTGCCTGCACGGGTCTGATGTTCGTCTCTGACAACGACGACGACGATTGCTCAGCAGTGGCAATGTCGCAGACTTCAAGCTCAGTTCAGAGCGAGCACGCAAATGTGCACATGACCGATATCCCTGATGAGATATCCAGGAGACTTGACGAGCAACAAGCAACCATCAACTCCCTAAAGGAGATGTTGGAGCAGCTCCTGAGCGAGAAGAAGAGGAAGAGAGAGAGGACTTCGCGGGCTTCGCATAAATCCTTGAAGCACAAAGAGCGGGTACCTACTCCTTCTCACTCCTCATCCGAGTCATCTAGAGGAGCGTCATCTTCGGGCCATAACCCAAGAGACAAGAGGTTTGACGATCTCCAAAGTCAACTCAACACCTTGAAGCTCCAGAAGCATGTGAACAAGCTGG